GGAATGGCTTGCAAGGCCCTTTTATGCTAGCAGATTTTGAACTACTGACTTTATGACCTTAGCACCCAAAACCCTGCACAAACTGTTTGCATGTGTCCCAGGAGGGAGATTCCCAATTACAGAATGGTGTGATGTGAGGAGTGATTTTCAAAGGCTTAGAAACCAGTAAGATGAAGAGAGTTCAACTTATCAGTCCTCTTCTCCTGCCTTTGAAAATGTCTAAACAGCCTTGAATAATTTATTATTATTCTTAGTCACTTTTTTTTTCTTTTTTGGTAGTCTAGTTTATAATGCAGGACAGTACCTGAACATGAAGAGCAGAGATTGTATCTACCTTGGAGACCAGCCTTGGACTTAGCCAGGGCTTTCCAGGTAGATAGTAGGACGACTGTCTGACTCTTACTATCACACATATATGGGACCAGACCAGGTGCCCCAGTATCTTGTCTCTGATACTTGCAAACTGCAGACATCTGGAGGACAGTGTAGACTGAAAGCCATATGGTAGAAATATTTTCCTGGTATGCTGCTTCAGTTGCTAATGACTTTTGCTTCAGGCAGTCTGGAGGAAGAGATCTGCTCTATTAGTAATTAATAGCCCTTAATAGGATTTTCTTCCGTTGATCCATTTAATAATTTTTGGACCTGTGTAGACAGTGTTTCATGCACTTGACAGTAAAGTATCTTTTGTATACTTTCATTAAATAAGAGAAATAAATTAAAATCATTTTGGTTACTGTCTTATGCTCCTGGCAGTCTTGGTCATTAGGATGATGTCTCATAGAATCGCAGAATGGTTTCATCTGGAAGGGACCTTAAGACCTTGTAGTTCCAACCCTGCTGCTATGGGCAGGCACACCTTCCACTAGATCAGGTTGCTCAAAGCCCCATGCAACCTGGCCTTGAACACTGCTAGGGATGGGGCAGTCACAACTTCTCTAGGCAACCTCTTCCAGTGATTCACCTCCCTCCCAGTAAAGAACTTCTGAATATCTAATCTAAATCTATGCTCTTTCAGTTTAAAGCCATTCTCCTTTGTCCTATCACTACATGCCCTTGTAAAAAGCTCCTCTCCAGATTTCTTGTAGGCGTCCTTTAGGAACTGGAAGGCTGCTCTAAAGTCTCCTCAGAGCCTTCTCTTCTCCAGGCTGAACAACCCCGAGTCTCTCAGCCTGTCTTCACTGCACAGGTGCTTCAGCCTCTGATCATCTTCATGGTCCTCCTCAGGACTTGCTTGAGCAGGTCCACATCCTTGTTGTGGACCCCAGAGCTGGATGTAGTGCTGCAGGTGGGGTCTTACGAGGGCAGAGTAGAGGGGCAGGATCACCTTCTTTGACCTGCTGGTCACACTTCTTTTGATGCAGCCCAGGATATGGTTGGCTTTCTGGGCTGCAAGTGCACACTGCTGCATCATGTTGAGCTTCTCATCAATCAGCACGCCCAAGTCCTTCTCCTCAGGGCTGGGGAGAGTCTCTTGTCTTAAAAATTCTTTTCAATCCTTTATTTGGCTCTTTGATTCTTCATCTTACTTTGCTGGTTTGGGTAATGGAGGTACATTTTAGGTGAAGGCTCTTCAAGAACTACAGAATTTTTACAACATCCTACTTCAAAAGCCTACCTGTAGGTAGCAAAGCCACACTTCATTCTAAAGATGAGGTGGAGCTGGGAGTAGGGGGGGACAACAGGATATTGTTGAAGGGCCATGTGCCTAGGGCTGCAGGTTGGGGAGTATACCAGAAACATGACTAAGATTTGAAATCAGAGTCTGTGTGCCCCATTTTGCTTGCATTCAGCATGTACTTGCATTCAGCAAGTAACCACATATAACAACAATAATAAGCTATTTGCCTTCAGGTGAGGCTTTAACAAATCTATTATTCTCAACAGCCATTTCTTTGTCCTGTCGTTCCCACTCCAGTGTCAGTTATAGTTATCTCATATAAAATACAGATTACCACAGTCAGTGTGGTTTACCGTACAAAGAGAGTGATTAAGTGGGTATTTCTGGGTCTGGTCTTATAAAACGTGTCTCTGTATAGTTAACATTCAACCTCATCAGGTGCCTCCGTGTTTGTAGACTTGAGAGCACAGCTTGCCAAAGCCTGCGGAGTCTTGTAAGGCACTGAGTGAGCCTGTGAGTAGAGGCAGGGGGGAATCGTGTGTTGCTGACTAATGATCTGAAGATGGCAGTATTGGGTGAGCTATCGCGTTTTCGTAGCTAAGCAGAGGTCTCTTAAATACAGAAATTGTAGTTGTTGCATATGGCAAATTTATCAAAAAATCAGCTTTTCATCTGAAGGGCTTTTCTTAATGCTGTAGCTTAATACCAGAAGTTAGTAGTAGGGAGATGTATTTTATCATCTGGTCATTTTGCATGCATTTTATTTGAGTTAGTTATCCTGAGAGTGCAAGTTTTATCAGTGCTGAAGATAGGCTGTCATCAGCGAGTGTTGGCTCATAAATATAATAATAGTATATTTTCTTATAATAGTAACAATTGTAATAATTTTTGAACTTAAGTAAAATAAAGCTCTCTTTGTGTGCTATGTGTCTATCAAGGAGGAACTGCCATTGAGGTCTCCCTCTGTCTTAAGCACACCCTACTCCATGGCAGCAAGGACTGCTCTCACCTTTGCCAGTGTTAGCTCTCTGCTTTCTGCCCCTTCATTCCCCAACAGTGCACCTCCTCAGGAGAGTGGAGATCATTTCTCTTCCCTCCCTCCACTGTTCCTATGGATTGCTAAGTGGGAATTCTCCTGTGGGCAGCCTGACATTGGTTTGGTCCTTCTCAGCCTGAGAAAGGTCTACAGTAAAAGTGTCCCACATTGAGGAACAAAGTCATGGCTGCTCTTACAGATCTATAACAGACAAATACCAGACCATGCCCTTTTTAGCTGCAGCTGGTTTTAAGAATGGAAGTGACCGTGATCACCACTGTATTTTATCAGGATCCCAGTCCTGCTGTGTATCTGTCAGGGTGCTCATGTTCAGAGCATAAGAACCACTACCTGGTGTGTTGTTTTAAGAGAGTTAATGGGAAATTCGAAGGTGTTAGTGGGATTTAAAGTGTAAAGCTGAGTGGTCCATTGCTGACAGTGCCGGCATGTACAGAAGCAGGACTGTAGGTAGCCTCCTGAAGGTTTTCCTGGCAAAATATTCAGGCAGGGAAGCTAACTTTGTACTCTTTTTGGCAGTAGGTCTCTCAGCTTCACTCATCATTCCTAGTGATGCCTTTGACATTTTGTGCACCTGGCTATTTGTCCCTGAGGTGTCTTTTTTAGAAACCAATTGTCTTGGCCTCCTTTTAAATGACGACACCAGCTCATTACATCTAATAAAATATTTTATAACAGTTTGCCTTTATCTGAGTCAAAAACAAGGCCAGTGGTAGAACTTTGATTTTTTTTTTTTTTTTTTATTGGCATTTTTTTCTGGTCAGAGTTGTGCTTTCACCTCCCCTAGTGTATATCTGTGCCTTTGCTGTGGTGGAATCTGACTCAAGGCATTTGAAGTCACCACAACCTTTTCTTCTTGCCAGCTGACTTAGCAGCTGTGGATTAGACACAGGGCTCATATTTTTATTCTTTTTTATCACACCCTTCTATATAGTGCCATGCTGCATGAATCACTAGCTCTACAGGAACTTTTATGAGGCAGAGAAATGACTCATTTGTCAATTTCTAAACATTTGTTGAACTTAAAAAAGCTGTTAATTTCTGCTCTTTTGCGTTTAGTATGATGCTCAACCTGGAAGAGTGGGGGTTTAAGAGGGAAATGGATGAAAAATAAGTAATCATGTTAGGATCCATTCTCAAGTAATTCAGAAAAACTAAAGACATAGTGCCAAATACTGGGTTCTTATCCTAAATTCGTATTTCCTGCAAAGACTTGTAAATCTGTTCGGTTCAGTGGAGTTATGTCCTTTTGCACAAAACCTGAAATTGTCAGGTAACGTAATAAGCACACATGTATATAGATCTGTGTGTATATATGCAATATATGTAATGTTTTTGTTCAAGTTAGAAATCAACTTCCTAAAACCTTCATATGTAGAAATAGTTACTAGCTTAATCTCAACTGTTTGATCTAACATCAAAAAGTAATCTTGATGTGTCATAGCAAAACCAAACTAAAACATGGTACCATAGGAGCAGAAGTGACTGTCTTCTTTTGCATTTAGCGGTCAGTGAGCTATCTGTGCTTCTTATGGTCTTCCTAGCATTTAACTTTGTTGGGTGGATACAGCAAAGTTAGTTACAGTACTGTTATGCCAGTTTAGCACCTCTCTTTCATAGTTCCTCATCAGTTCGTTATCAGATATGTTACCTGATTGAATGTAGACCTAAAGAACAATTGTAATGGATTGGTCAAGTGAACTTAGTCAACTGACTGTAATTTTCTTTCTGTAATTCAAGAAGCCAAGTGGCATATTAGTTCTTCATTTATGACAGTGTAAAATCAAGTGAAGCCTAAGGCCTTGGCTCAAGAAGGCCCTTAAACACATACATGTAAGTAAGTTAATTCTAACTCAAGAAAGTACTTCAATATGTGACACACTTTAAAGTGGCATCAGCTCGAGCTTAAAGCTGTGTGCTCTGAACTAGATCTCAGAGATATTCAGAGGCTTCTAGATAGGCAGACCAGCTACCTTGCAGGATTTTATTTTAAGTCACCTCATTTATTTCAGGAGGTTTCAAAAATCTCTGCAGATTACTATCAGTGCTTTTGATACCTAAATGATCTTGCTTGTCTGTTCCTAACTGGCCATTCCTGTGAACTGATTGGGTTCAGAAAAAAAGCAGAATCACACATTTTTGTGCAAAGCTCTGCTACTGCAGACCATGACATTTAAAGTACTTAGCAGTAACAACATACTTTATCTGAATTTATGTGAAAGACATGAAATTCTGAAGAAGTGGGGCAATCAAGCGAATATGGTACCAATTGTCATTGCTGAAGTGCCTGTTTGCAGCTGCACTATATGTATCTTTGTTTTGCAGTGCTATTTTTTTACAATTGAATTTGGCCTTTGCAAGCAAGAAGGACAGCTACGTGCTTATGGGGCAGGACTTCTGTCTTCTATTGGCGAATTAAAGGTATGTGTCCTTAAAGCAGAATCAACTTTTTTTTTTAATTCTTAACAAAATAATAGTTGGATGTAAATATTTTGACTTCCAAATAGCAGCTAAAGTTGTCAGGATAAAAAGCTTACTTTTAAAGTGTGATATTGACCTAAAAGCTTTGTTTGAAATATCAGCTGGCACTTGAAGCATGAAATGGATTTGTAAGGCCCAAAGTACCAAAGCAACTACAAACTACAGAACTAGTTTCTGTTTGAATTTGCATTTCTTGTAAAAGGAGGCTCGTAGGTTTTAAAGGTGAGTGTTTCTTGAGCTCTGAAAACTTTGTTTAGAAAAGAAGCATATAATTTTACAACATACAAAAAATGTTTTGAAATCATATGTGGTTCTGGTGTAAGTAATCCAGCGTATTTCAATTGATTCATTATTGATATTAAAAGAACAACATTTATTAGGGTCCTGATTCAGTAGTTTAATCATATTTAAAGTTAAGGAATGCATATGAACTCGTGCTAGATTTGAAGTACATGCCAGTGTGACAATACCTAGAGCCCTATTCTTATAAATGTGAAAGTGTTTAACCTTGCATGATGTGAGTAGTTGTAGTGGATCATTTGTTGCCTCTTTTTATGCCTAGAAAACATAGAGAACAAGCAAAAAGTATTTTGTCACAAGTCTAGTATTTTGGGGCATAATACATCTCTCTCTTGGGAAGATGGGAGGGAGGGAGAGGGAGTAGTTCCATCTTCTGGCACCTAAATGAACTCTTGGTGGCTTTTCAGGTAAAGATTTGGTTTTAGAAAGCATGTACAGAATAGTATATGTATACAGTATATGTATAATAGTATTTACAAACTGTTTTGCAATATATCTGCTGTTTATTTATGTTTAACTTCTCCCCACCCTCCTGCGCTGGCTTTTTTGGTGAACTACCTAGCAGTTTAATAGAAGGATCTCAGTCTCTTCTTTCATGTTTGTTTCACCTGTAACTGAGAATATTCATGGTGAAGCTCATTAGTCAAATTGCTATTCTTTCATTAGTAGAAAAAAGGTTGAAGAAAATTGCCTTCTCCAGTATTTTTCTTTGGTTGCATTACAGCTGCTCTAAGTTCATTGCGTACTTCAGCCACAGTGCTCTGTATTAGCCTAGTAATATTTTATACTCACGGTGCAAAGATGGTTAGATGCAGAGAGATGAATATGTCTCACTTCTTCTGGCCCTACAACATTCAGTGCTAAGCCCCAAACTCCGTGCAGGAGTCTGCAGAGAATCGGGTCTTTATTTAAACTAACAGTTACAGTCATTAGGTAATGACCCTGAAAGTACCTGTCACATCATTTACAAAATCTAAGGGCATAAAAGTGAGGAGATGAATAGTCAAGAATGAAATAAATCTTTTACCATCAATGTCATAAACAAACACATTATTCTTGTCAAGTCCGCATATTTTGTTACCTCGCATTTGTGATCCCAAATCTGTGTTCTTCACTCACCAGTAATCTCATAGTATAAATGCAAAGAATAATCCTTTTGAAAAGCAACGGCAAAAATTAAATAATGTGCCCACTAATGGACTATATTGATCTGCTTCAAAGGTATGGCCATATATCATAATAATTTTACCATAAATCAATAATATTATATACTTTTCTATTATTCTACATATATATTTCATACATGGGAAGTCAGAAGGGACTATTCGATCATCTGGTTTGACCTCTTGTGTATCGTAAGCTATTAAATTTCTCCAGATCTTGCATATACTGAGCATAGGGACTTAAGTTGGACATTTCAGTTATTGAGAAACTAAGGACTTGTGTGCTGCAGTCACAGAACAGCACCATACCACAAATAGCCAGTCTCCATGAAGAAAATGGTAAGGTGAAAAACGTCTGGGGCTGTGCTCCATGGTAGAAAATAAGGTAAAAGGTAAGGAAAAAAATGTAAAACACTACTAAGTTTTCTGCTAACATGACCATAGGGAAAGCTGTTTCTACACCAGAAACCTGGCAGTGAATGTGCTCTTCTTAACAAGATACATCGGGCAAATGCTTAGGAAGGAAAATATCTGGCTGCCCATGGGATTGGTGCACAGTCTTGCATCAAGCCGTACAAGTTTCTAATGTTTCCTGGGAAAGCAAACTCCCTTACTTCCACCTCCTCGCACCTATTGGGAGGGAAAATGTCTTCTTTAACCTGAAGGTGTCTGAAAGATAATGCTAATATAACAGACTTTGGTTGAGATCCTGATAATATCAATATCCTGATTCTAACTAAAATCCTCATGGATGGCAGGAACTGCTCTCAAAATGATAACAATACTGGATATTTCTGTGGTGAGTGGGGATGAATAGAAAACTGAGATTGCATGGTTATGAAATCTGACCCTCATGTGCAGATCCCATGCTTCTCACAGGAGTTGGAGTGAAGAAGCCCTTTCAGAAATAAATACTGCCATTCTTAAGACAACAGTGATTGTGAGCCTGTTGTCCAATCTATGAAGAAGTTCAAATACTTATTTATCCTTGCCACTAGGAAGGTAGATTTTGTGTCAGTGTTGAGTTTTGCTGCCTTGATTTTACAGGCATTTGATAATAACATGGTTTTGTCAGCCAGAAGAAAAGCTGTTCTCCAGCTGCCCACCCTATTAGCTCTCTTTTCAGTGCAACAATATTATTTAAAGGACGCAAAACAGTGCCTAATTTTATGGATAATTTTTAGAAATTTCTAGAAATAAATGACTTGCATTATTTGAAGGCTGGGAATGGCCTACAGTATTTGGGCCTTTCAGATGAATGAATGGCTTGTTCAGTCATCCCGGTTTCTATATTACATGTCTCCGGTCTGCAAATCTGGTAAACAACTTCAGCAACAAAGAACTATAGAAGCTAGAGAAATGTGGGCACCAGCCTATCAATATAGGATTTTCTTCAAGTCTTTTTCCTCACTCAATACTGAGACTTCAAATTTCAGAAACTGAAAAATGCAGCTCCTGATGTGCATGTTATGGAAGCATGAGGCAAAAAACTTTTAAAAGCACAACAAAATAAGGAGAAAGAGAAGATTAGAAGTGAAGCCTGGGGGGAAACAAATAGTACAGTAAGTAGTTATAAAATGTTCTGCCTAATATAGTCAGGTTAACTCTAGCTAATGCTATTACACAGTATATATTTGGGGCTTAGAGATAAGGCAGAAATAATGTACATTTCAATTATTAAAACTATTTCTAAAAAGCAGTACAAATGTCTTTGGAAACTTTAATCCATTTGCTTTGTATGATGCTCTCTTGAATTCTTTCATTAAAGGAGTCTCCTATTAACTTTAGTTGGCTGTAGATCAAGTCATATATCCCTGTTATATGCTTCTATATTTACCAGAGAGGTAGACTTCAGATCTTTCTGTATAGATTTTTAAAGTCAAATGTGATGTCCATATACGATGTCATATTTTGTTTTAATGATAATTTATGTTAAGGAGAGCCAGCATTAGCCTTCATAACCAAAATGATTCAAATAAAAGCTTTGACTCTGTTTTCTGAAGAGGATGAAGATGGTGGAGAAAACAGCTTCTGGATCCCAGGTGCTCATTTTAGTGGCCTTTTTAAATAGAGAGTCTTTCCCTTATTTGTCTAAACAATATAGAAAATTATACCGATGAAAAAAAAGAAAAAAATCTGGTAAAATCAGGACACTGTCAGATTTGCAACCTGTGTCGTAGATAATCAGAAAAACCTTTAAGAGCAGGTTTTCCAATACTCTGTTCCCGCCTTGAAATAATAAGGTAGTAAAATCAGTACTGGCACACAGACAACTTCTCATCTGTGTCCTTATTCTGCCCTCCTCTACTCCGCAGACAGTGCTGTATTTATAACTCATCTGAAGTTTTCTCCTTGCCAGCTGAAGATTTTTTTTTTTTTAATTTTTTTTGGTTTTTTTTTTTTGGGGGGGGGGGTAATGGGGGAGGGTGTTGGTGAAACTGGAAAACTCCAAGTTATATTATTACACTCAATTCTTTGTACTCAGAGGAGAAATTGCAAGACCAAGCTCTTCCTTCGTGTGTCAATGGTAGTGGTCACTTAGGAAGTGATTAATGGTTCTCGGCTCAGTGTAAATGCCTAGTGCCTTCTGAGATGCCCCAGTATATCTGACCAGCTCTCTCCAGCTGCCACTTTGGAAATGCATAAGTCTTCTTTAGGACTTGTGCTGTATCTTCCATCCCTATACAGATGCATCAAACATCCTGGGCCCTAGAGACCTGTGGTTAGGTACCTCAGTCGGTCTCAACCTTTGATCTAGAAGGTCATTGAGGCATTTCTTTAGTGCTGTGCTTATTTCCAATATGGCAGTTGTCTGATTCTTAAACTGTCTGGTTGTCTGATAGTGCTGCTTTTCCTGGGAATCAGGGATGATTCATTTGGAATTTTCACTCCAAACACTTGTTGCATGAACTGAATGAGAATCACCAATGGCCGTATTAGCACAAGCAGTACAGTTTGTATGAATGGGCCCTTAGAGACAGTTATAACAAATGCACAAGATGGTAAAATGCTCTGACCAAATGCTGTTTTCCTTATGATTGTTAACCTTGACATTTTTTTGGATAACTGAAGAGGTCTCCAATGGAGAAATCTGTATTGGATACTTGCTTATTTGAGTTCAACGAAGAACTGAATGTCCAACCAGAACATAAGTGAATAGCATGCATTAAAAAATATAGCTTGGAAGCTTTTAGACTCACCAGGTAGTTTTTCGTTGAGATTCTGTGCATCATAATGTTGAAAGTGCCAGACCTCTAGTTTGGCTTTGAAACAGTGTCCTGACCAACCTAGTTCACACCAGGCAGTTTATGTTCTATCTGAAGGTTTGTGTGCAGGTTCAGTTCAGTTTCTGAGCTCTGCCGTCTCTGGTGTCAGCATGTCAAGTCAATAGTAGACATCAGAGGCACTAGGCTGCAGGCTTTGAAAACATCTAGATTCACAGAGATGTTTCCCGTTGCTTTAGTAGGCATGCCAATGCCTGCTTGATGCAAGAGCCAAAAGACAGTATCCAAGAATGGAGATAGATAGGTATCTTGGGTGTGAATTCATCAGAATGTAGGCACTTCATTCCTAAACTGCATCCCTAAAAATAACTTATCGGTTGTCACCTAACTTTGAAGGCATGCCTGAGTCCTTACCCTCTGCTTCGAGGTTGTATGTTTCCTGGTTTCTGCACATCCCAGTCTCTGCAGAGTTGCTTTGTGAAGCAGCACCTCTGCCATGCGTAAACTGAACTGGGATCCAGAAAGTAGGAGTCATTTCATATACAAGATCTGAAGAGAATAACCAGAAGGGCTTTCTCAGAGCACATCCACTGTGATAAAGAATTAGCTTTTTCTTCTCTCTAAACTCTCCCTTTTTATAAAATCGGTGCTAAGTGACCAGAGCAGTTGTTCATGATGTAGGAGCCACAGGCTGAATCCTTTCTCACCTCTGATGTCTTATATCCCAAGGAGTAGGACTAGCCCAGCAGAGGCCATTAGTGAGTGAAGGAGAAGAGGGAATCACAACACTGTCACCCTTTCTGTTGAAGCTGTCACAGTATAGGAAAGAAACCATGAGCCAGAAGTGGTCACCTACTGATTTGGTTCCTAAGAAAATGTGACCCATATCACTCTCGATCCCCTGCACAGCGCATCACCCAGAGTTTTAAAACTGTGCTTTAGACATCTGAGGCATCAAGTCTCACCTGGAAGTATGAAGGCACCTTTAGAGGAGTTGTTTTTAGCTATAGTTAGCATCCCAGGTCATTTTAATTCCCAGTCAATAAAAACACATTCATTTTGGTAGAAGGAGGTAAATGCCTAAATTTACAGCCACTCAACCACATCATGGCTCTGAAGGGAGAAAGTGATGACAGATATAGAAAGCAGCCTATGGTGAGCCTGTTTCTGCAATCCATTTAGAAGAGGATGCTATTCAAGACGGGCCATTTTTTACTTTATTTTTTCAAACCTGTTTAACTGATGGCTGGCTAGAAACGGCAAACCTTGTGAGAAGGAAAAGATACATGTACTAAAGAAAGTAAATTCCCTGACATTTTAAGTTTTCGTACATTAATTTTTCATGTATTTATTTTTGGAGATAGAAGAGGTGGGAGGAAGAGGTTCTTGTTCCAGTTTTATGTCCTGTTATTTGGAGACTGCAGGTTGAGAGCTAGTGTGATATTTTCAGAGCCTTTCACAGGGATTTAGAAATGAGCTTAAGCAAAAGCTTGGATAAAAGGTGTGGTGAATACCTTAATATTAATACCTTACTCTGCTATAAAGAGTGTCCATGAAGAAAAAAAAGTAAAGAAATAAGAATCACCTTTGAACGTCAGGGATCTGCTCCCTCCCTGTCATTTCTCCATGGTTTTCATGTACATCTTCACTATGGGTATATATTAGAAGACTGAAAAAGGTTGAAAGTTGACCTAAATATGCTTTCTTTCCTTAGCTTATACTTCTATACAGAGCACTGAGAATGAAAATACATGTGCTCTAAAAATTAAGGTAGATCCAAAAGCTAATACAATTATTCAAGTAGAAAGGGGGGGCTAGAAAAAGATTGTGTTGGAAAACATCTCAGTACCTGATTCTCAGTTTTGGAACTTCTGCATCCTTTCTAGTGGTTTGTGCCTGTCACATGAAAAGAAAGGCTAACTGGAAATTTCTTCTCTGGGTAGCAGCATTTGATGCATCATCTGCCCATAGTCTGCTCTGTACTTATTTGTGCCTTTTTATTTAGTTATTTTTTTTTTCTTTACAGTACTATATAGAGCATTATTGCTCAGCAGTGCGTGGCAGAATGTAGTGCATATCATCAGCATGCAATATAAGTGGGCATTATTTAATTGGTTTTCAGATATATAGTTTCTTAAACTCACTGTTAGGAAAATAGTATATGATTTTGGCCTGGAAATGTAAAGCACAGATTATATTAATGGTTTGGTCAGGCTCAGTTCACCCACCAAGATGATCATCAGTTCTGCCAGTTAAGTGACATTTTGGGCATATACATATTTGTAGTTGTACAGATAAATTTTTAGGAATGATTATTTGATGACTTTCCTGTTTCCAGCTGAGGATTTATGTTTGTATGCCTACATGGCAGGTGAATTTCTAATCTCCTCTGTATTATTTTAATAATCATTTTTGGGGAAAAATTACTCTTGTAAAAAGAGCTTTTTTAAGTAACAAATGATTTATTCTGCTCAAACTGAAAAACCACTGTGTATGTAAAATGAGAGGCTATTAACTAAAGGGAAACACAGCACAGTGATATAAAAGCTATATATATGAACAGCTGTATAGATGCACAGCAGTATTGAAATGCAGTTTAAAAGATCCTCTTGTGTATTTTGCAGCATGCTCTCTCTGACAAGGCCAATGTGAAAACATTTGATCCAAAGACAACCTGTTTGCAAGAATGCCTTATCACTACCTTCCAGGAAGCTTACTTTGTTTCAGAAAGTTTTGAAGAAGCCAAAGAAAAGATGAGGTAAAATATTTCCCTTGACTCAAAAATCTAGTTTTCTCTTCTTTAGCAGTCAAAAAACCCCAGATATGTTAATTTTGTTTTTTCTTCCAGGGACTTTGCCAAATCAATCAATCGTCCCTTCTCTGTGTATTTCAATCCATATACACAAAGCATTGAGATTCTGAAGGATACCAGGAGTATAGAAAATGTTGTTCAGGACCTCCGCAGTGATCTGAACACTGTATGTGATGCTTTAAGCAAAATGAACAGATATTTGGGGATTTGATGTTTGTGGCACTGTAATTTGCTGTTAGTTGCTTTTTTCTGTAGCCAGTCTTGTAACATCACATGATACGGCTAACTTCTCAAACCTATCAATTTTCCCTTTGCAGCTTGGCCTATGGCTTGCATCATTGTGTAGCTCTGTCTGATTGTAATGTGCAGACAAACCAAGGCAATGCTAATTTGTAAATGCAACATGGAATGTGGCAAAATATAGTCATCAATTCCTCAATACAATGCCATGTAGAAGTACACCATTAAAAACTTACCCGGCAATGGTTTTGTTTCCATAAGATGTTTCACTTCAGTGTATAAGAAACAGTTGCTGAATTCATTGTCTTTTTCTTTATAATCCTTTTCCTCCCATAGGAATCCAGAAAGAAATAATTGCAACATTTTAATTTTCTTTATAAGAGAATCTGTATTTCTTTCTGTAGTGTGAAGACAATGTTTTGCCCATATATCTGTAACAGAACTGAGTGTCTCTTGTGACTGAACAATACAATTTATATACCAGTGCTGAGATCAGGAAGGCTATGTATCAGTACTAAAAGGTCCGTGGAGGTTACAGATTATGAGCTCTCACACCTGACAAATGTTCAACGTGGCTGAATAATTGCAACATAATAAAAAAAATGGAAAACCTCTGACAATTGGTGTAGCAAGGTAGTTCTAGTTCCTTCCTGTGTTACTGATGAGAGTCCTGAGCGTACTTCCTCTACAAGGGCCATATGGGAATAAGAGAAGTGCTTGTGTTAATTCTGGGTTGTTAGATGTGTATATAAAGCCCTTCTACATCATTGTGTGCCCTCTGCATTCCCTTGTCTTTTGAACATACTTCTCTTGCATTTCATGCATAATTTGCCTTTCCTCATTATGCCACAGTCAACCTTGACATGGCCATGCATGAATGGGTCTATGCTGTATCAGTATCAGCACATATAAAAGGGTGAATATGGAAGTTGTTATTTAATTACAGCCAAGACAATTATCAGTTAGTAGATTACTTGTGGGGTGATTAAATCATGGAGACACCCAAGCTGCCTAGTTTGTACCAGATGGATGCAGGTAATGCCTGAATTAATAAAGTCTAAGTTAGCAAGCTCTGACAGAAGTACAAGCTCTGTCTGGGGAGCATAGTGCAGAAATATTTGAGCTGGCTCTTATCTGGAAGCAATAATTATGCATGTCTTTCCTTTATCTGGGTTATTCTCTTCCCCTATTAGCCAAGATAATGGAGAGCTGGCTCTATTGTATAAACCCTTCTTAGTGGAAACCACATGGCTTATGCAGATCATGTCAGTATAGGTGACAGTGTTATAGCTTACATGCATGGAAAATAGGTATTTATTGAAGCTGCTCTCACAGCTGAAAGAGTCATGCAGATAGATACTCTTAATTGTTGCTAGCAATTTCAGCATAAAAAGAGCACCACTTGATAGTACCAGCATATCCTTAAATAAGAGGCAGATCTATAAGATAATTTTTCATTGGGAAATCTGCCACCTCCTCAAAGATAACTATGAGATAACAGAAAATGCTCTTTTCTCCCTATGATCCCTGCTACATTCCAACGCTGCTGTTAATAGGGTGTGGAAAAATCTAGTTTTAGATTTAACTGTGACTGCCGTTGGTACAGATGAAGAGCTGTTGAATTATCCCATGGGGATCAGCATGCCGGAGCAGTTTTTAACTTCCTGACGTTAGTGCTGACTCTGTTAGCTACCACTTATCACAGAGGAATTGCTGGCAACCTTGGCATGGAAGTTTGTCCTTTTTTTTTTTTTTTTCCCATGGAATCTGATAAACCCCTTTTAGCCCTTTCTGGAGAAAATGGACTGTATTGAGATTTGCTTTAAGTGGTCTGAAAAAATCATTGTACAAGGAATAGTAGATCTTACTCTGTTCAAGAACTAAGTATTGTTGCTTGCTTAAGTAAAATAAAGCTGCAATGAGTAACAAAGTTCCTAGCTTGCAAAGTTACTGCGGCTTTCCCTTTAATCAGAATAATGCAGGAAAAGTTGAAACATTTATAATATCTGGATTTATTCTTGACTTTTCTGAACAGCTTAAAATAAGAATTCCATAGCAGTAAAACAACAGAAGCATATCTTTGTTTTGTTTTGTGCTGTTACTAAGTAAATCTTATTATGGATTAGGGAGAAACCCTTGAAATCCAATAGTCATTTTAGGACTAATGATGGCAAGGAAACTGTCTACAATGAAGATATAATGTCAATGAAACAGAACATTGTCAAAGGATAATGGGCTCTTGCTGCTAGATATATGCTTAATCCAATGATTTTATTTCTATTATACAACATGATTAAAAATAAATTAAATATAATGGGCTAAGGAATAATAGTGACTTAGACAATTTCTCATTGTTTTTGCATAGTAAAGCTGCCTTCCTACAGGCTGTGGAGCAAACTGGCTTTGGGCTTCAGCCAGCCAGGAGCCAGGACTAGGAAGGAATGCTTTAAAAAGTGCACTATTGCACTTTTATGAATCAAATAGTTTCAGCTTAGCTGAAATTCATCTCTGTGGTTTTTATTAGCAAATTAAGATCAGCCATGCAGCAATCTCCTACGATGACAAGCTCATTTAGGCATAATGAGAGAATTATTGACAGTTATCAGATTATACTAATGTTTCATTTAAAATAGGCCATATTTATCTAAGGTGCTTGTTTAGCTGTAGTGAGCTGGACTCTGGAAATTGGACTTCTGGCTTAGACTCATTTATTTCCTGTGTAATTCTGAACTGATGCTTTATGGGTCTAAGATATATGCACTTGCTTTGCCTGCACAGAGTAAATGGGCCCAAGCTTAATGAATGTAAAGCATTGCAGTGTTTACTACCATGGAAAGTCTAAAATGAAAAACAACACTCTGAGACATGGCAGCAAATACAAATACCAACTTTCATTTGCAAACCAAGACATGGTTCATGCATTTCATTTCATTTGTTTGGTAGAGGGGATGGAGTGGGAAAGGTGTTAACACAATATATTGTGTTTTCCCTCTCTACTTTTTGAGGCCTGTTTAGAATCCTGTTTTATGTTCAGCCGTTCAGGACACTGTCACAAAGTAAGGTCTTTTCCTTTTTTTTTTTTTTTTGTTATTATATTGTAATGTAATGAAGAAAATTCCAGAAATTCACTGCACTATAAGGTATATTTATGGCTGCACTGTAATGGATTACCGAAGAAAGTTTCCTATCTTTGTAAAGGACAGCCTAGCTCAGAGAGCTAAAGCTGCTGAAGGGTTTCACCTACAGGCTGCTGGTACAAATCCAGCCCAGTCAGCAGTTACTGAAAGCTATCACCCACAAGCAGCAGCCTAGCTTCTGTGTGATGAGCTGGGAAGCTGGGATTGCTTAGTTTGGAGCAGAGGAGACTGAGGGGAGACATGATAACCTTTTTCAAACACATCAAAATAGCTGCAAAATGAAAGGGACAAACTATTCTCCGGCCTCAAGGGCTAATGGACTTACACTGCAGAAGAGGAGCATTAAGCTGTGTAATAGTGAAACATGGGGGATAGATTGTCTAGGAAGAACAGGTTAGGCTGCTATCTCTTAGGAATGATATTAGCACAGTCAGTCCCATCTTGAGACCAGGGGAGAGGCTATAGACAACTTGAAGTCCCTTAGAGCAACTGCTTGGAAAAGTCTTCAGCTTCCTTATGAAAAGACTCCAGCCAGCTCACAAGAACAGCAATGGTCAGCAGGCACCATGGCGGGGCATTGGGAGTTCACCTGCACTTCTCCCTCTTCCTTCAGGCATTGCCCAACACTAAAGAGTGGTTCTTCATCTTTCCATCTTCCCTTAGGGAATTAATAGAACCACAGAATGGTTTGGGTTGGAAGGGACCTTAAACGTTATCCAGTTCCAACCCCCCTGCCACAGGCAGGGACACCTTCCACTAGACCAGGTTGCCCAAAGCCCCATCCTACCTGACCTTGAACACTGCCAGGGATGGGGCAGCCACAGCTTCTCTGGGCAACCTGTGCCGGTGCCTCACCACCCTCATGGGAAAGAAGAACTTCTTCCTAATATCTAATTTAAATCCACCCTCTTTAAAGCCATTCCCCCTTCTTCGATCCCTACATGCCCTTGTAAAATGTCCCTTTCCAGATTCCTTGTACTGGAAGCTGCTCCAAGGTCTCCCCTGGGCCTTCCCTTTTCCAGGCTGGACAAATCCAACTCAGCCTGTCTTCGTAGCAGAGGTACTCTAGGCTCTGATCATATTCATGGCCCTCTTCTGGATGCACACAAGCAGGTCCATGTCCACGTCCTTCTCATTTTGGGGGCCCCAGAGCTGGAGGCAGTAGTGCAGGTGGGGTCTCACAAGAGCAGAGTAGAGGGGGAGGATCACCTCCCTCGACCTGCTGGTCACGCTCCTTTTGATGCAGCTCAGGAGAAAGTTGGCTTTCTGGGCTGTGAGCGCACACTGCTGCATCATGTTGAGCTGCTTCTTCAGAACTTCTGGAGTGTGACCAGCAGGTCAAAGGAGGTGATCCTGCCCCTTAACTCTGCTCTCGTGAGACCTCACTTGGAGTATTGTGTGCAGTTCTGGTGTCCTTAACATAAAAAGGACATGGAACTGTTGGAACAAGTCCAGAGGAGGGCCACGAGGACGATCAGGGGACTGGAGCACCTCCCGTATGAAGACAGGCTGAGGAAGTTGGGGCTGTTCAGCCTGGGGAAGAGAAGGCTGCGTGGAGACCTCATAGCAGCCTTCCAGTATCTGAAGGGGGCCTATAGGGATGCTGGGGGTGGACTCTTCATTAGGGACTGTAGTGATAGGACAAAGGGTAGTGGGTTAAAACTTAACCAGGGAAAGTTTAGATTGGATATAAGGAGGAAGTATTTTACTGTGAAGGTGGTGAGGCACTGGAATGGGCTGCTCAGGGAAGCTGTGAATGCTCCATCCCTGGCAGTGTTCAGGGCCAGGTTGGACAGAGCCTTGGGTGACATGGTGTAGTGTGAGGTGTCCCTGCCCATGGCAGGGGGGTTGGAACTTGATGATCTTAAGGTCCTTTCCAGCCCTCAGTATTCTATGATTCTGTGATCTTAATGTAATTTCTAACCATAACCATTCTATGATTCTGTGATTCTTGTTAACCAGCACCCCCAAGACCTTTTCCTCATGGCTGCTCTTAATCCAGTCTCTGGCCAGCCTGCATTTGTGCTTGGGATTGCCCCAGCCCAGGTGCAGGACCATAGAATGCATGGTTGGAGCGTAGCCTTAAATGCTGACAATGGTGCTCTGTTTTAAGTTCATAGGACATTTGAGTGAGCCCAGTGCGCAAATTAACTGCTAGTTAAGGCTACCCAGAGGCAGAAGGCTGATAGAGAGCAACCAGTCTTTGTTGTTTTTGTAAACAAGGTTTAAAGGTTCTCAACTTTATAAACACAACAGAAATGCATATTTCATCCTGTATGTGCTACATCTGGGCCGTCAGGAAGACTGTGCTGCCTTGAACAATCTGAAGAACCTGGAGTTCTTCCAAGCTTCTGAGCCTGATTGCTCCAGCCACACATCAAACTTGTGTCTTGGTGAAACCTGAGCACAGAACAGCCTGTTCTCCCTAACTGCCCTGGTTGCCACGGGAAAGAAACCCACTGGTGTAGTCCAGAAGGGGGTTTTGGTTCAGGCCCCTGACACAGCTGGCCAGGGACCCTGAGAACCAGACCTGCTGCTGAGCCCGGTGTCACATTGAGGGTCGGGTAAGGATTAGTGCAATGCTCTTCCATTCAGGAAATCAGCTTTCCACCCCAACCTGGAAACTTCTTGTTTCAACAGGACAGACTATGCATTTTTAGAAATATGGCAGCTTCCCTTCTTTCTCAGGGGGAGCCATTACCATATTTCCAAATGATTTTCAAAGGGGGGTAATTCTGGTACTGTGATATAATGTCTGTGCTCTGTGGTATCAATCACTCCAGCTCTGGAGATGTTTCACAGATAAATTCTTGCCTTCTCTGTGAAGAGTAGGACAACAGTGACAGATTCCTTTTCTGGGCTTCAAAGTATATTTGAGACACAGAGTTAAGAGAGATTCTGGTTATACTGGTGAATATTTATTAGTAATGAGTCCCCCTAGTTGACATGGCGAGGACTGCAGAGATGTCCTTGACATCTTTACTGGCAATTTTTTGTAACTTAACTGATCTTGAGGCTAAATAATGTCCAGCCCAGTTGAAATACTCCATGAAACCTCTGTTGTTTCATTTTGTAACTCATCCTAGGGGAAACCACAAGTAAACATGAAAATAACCACAATTTGTTGATGTCTATTCAAAACAACTACATTTAGTTTAAAAAGGCCCTCCAACACCTCAGAGTAAGAATTCGTATTTCTTTGCTGACAACTGAGATGGCAAGACAAGACTAAAAATGCGTGCTGGCATCTTCTTGGGATTTGGCCTGGGGTGGACTATTCAGGTGGAATAAGTGTAAAATGGGTTACATAGTCACGTACTTCAAAGTGCAAGTGGGTGACGGAAATTCAGGTGGACATCTTTTAATGTACTCAGAAATTTCAGAAGTCCAGGAAAAATAGTGGGGAAGAAGCTGCTGTTGCCACGCTCCACCTTTGGAGTAAAAGAGTTGTTTGCAAAGCAGCAAGAGGTAGATTTCAGTCTGTGTTAAACTGGCACATGGCCTGAAACATAACCCAAATACACCTACATCACTGCCTTCTGCGTTAGCTTCAGCATGAATACAGTTCTGATAACAAAGCAACAATTAAGCACTCTAGAGCCAAACAGTCCTGCTTCTTCACACGAGACAAAATAGGTGATTTGGCACCAGCATGGCACAAAAAAAATCACTTTTATTTCCTAATAAACCAGTTCTGTTTTCTGTTTCTTTTGCAAAATTCCTTTTGAAACATGTTGCTGTTTTATTTTTCCATAATAATTATAAAGAGATATGTTAATTATGGAAAGGTTGGTGC